GGAGAATTTTACATTGCAGCTAACACGACTCAAGAAAAAGGGACCAGCTACCTGGAGAGGCAAACATCTGGCAAAGTTGCTAATGGCCAAGGTGCCCCTGTCACTGCCTGCAGTTGTTTGCAGGCTCACACGCCAGGCCTTGGCCAAGACTAAACCAGGGTAAGTGAAAACTGAAAACACCATCCAGGCTAACAGGGAGAACACCCATCACTTCAGCACCTCTCCTGTTAGCCTTACAGCCCGCAGGCACCAGGGGGTTTCCTCCAGAATCAGCAACCCTGCCACGGCACTGTTCCCCACGGGCATCACGGCACTCATGCTCTGGAGGTGAGCTGTGCATTTGGAAGAGCAAAGCCGCTCTCGTCTTACAGCAGTGGTGTTGCTGTACCCATCGTCCTGCGAGACAGCGCAGGTGAAAAATGCCGCTTTGACCTTCTCTCCCCTTTGACAGCAAGAGATGACTTGAAAACCAGCAACCCCAACCTCTGCTCTCACCAGGGGCTGCAGGAAGCCACCCGAGCCAGCCAAGCTCCTCCACCGGTCCAGCAGCTCTCCTGGGTGTGCCAGCAGAAGAAACCTACAGGTTTCTGCAGGCACCACCCTGAATGCTGCCTGCACTCACCCCCTGCCTGTACTTGCTGCCTGTCTGCACGCAGTGGTCGGGCCGAAGCTGGAGAGCGAAGCTGTAGGTGGGATGCAGCACGGCAGGGGCTGAGCATGTCCTGCAGGATGGAGGAATCCACCACTGGCACGTGAATTTTGAACTTTTATTGATAGTTGGAATTTACAGCCTAAAACTGACAACATGGAGAGAAGAAGTTTTTTTTTTTTCTTTTTCTTTTTTCTTTTTTTTTTTTTTTTCTTTTTTACAAAAACAAAAACCAAAATAACCAAAAGCCACCAGCATCAGATTTACAATATAAAAGTTTTGACAGTAGAGAGACTAAAGTACATCTGGAATTACTCAGAAAAATAAACAGGGAAAAAAGGCAGTAATTTAAAATTTGTCCCTCATATATACACATAGATACACAGACATTGCTTACAAAGACCCGGTTTCAACATTTAAGGGCAGTAGGCATCATGAGAAAAAAGGCTCCCCTATGTCATTGCACTAAATTAATTAACCCAGGTGGGCACCCCCCTTTGCCACCCCTTCCCAGTTTAGAGGAAAGGCCACATGAAGCTAGAACGGGATTTCTGCATTCCCCGGCATCGAGCCCCGAGCCCCGGGGGTCCAGGGCTCTGCGAGGACCCTCCCTCCCCACACCAGCCACGGTCTCATCCATCAGCCATTACCGGTACGGCCGCTGCAACAGCCCCAGGACACCGTCTATGCAGGCAAGTGTTTCTTATTGCTATACAGAGTGCATCTTACCTATCGGCCACCGTTTGATGGGTTGTGGGTTTTTTAAAAGGCATAGATTCAGCCCCTAACGCTTGCTTTTCTAGCCAGGCCACCAGGGTGCCTGCACATAAAACCTGCCCCTGAACCACTCCTCGGGGAAGCACAGCAGCTGGACTTCCCGACAGTGCTCAACAGGTCATTGGCAGATTTTCAGGGAAACTCGGCTCTCGGGACACCGGAACAAAACGACTGGATTTTCAGAAGAGCAGAGAAAAATCAGGTGCAGAGCTATGCCGAAAATCTGGGCTCGCGTCTGGGTACCAAGCACTGCAAAAGCCAGCTCTCAAATACGTTAATGCCCCATCCCCACTGCAGTGCCTTCCCCCAGCTTGGACCAGTGGATTTAAAGGATCTCCTGCTCTCAGGGGCCCAGGAAGGTTTCACCTCACATCCCCCACGGCCCCAGCTTCAGCTCTACCTTGGTTGTGACACAGGGACGGCAAAGGTGGCCGTCTCCATGATCCTCTCCTGAAATGAGTGGCTGCAGCCAAGAGCAAACCCCAGGAGCAGGGGACAGCCGCGGGCGCCCCGGGATGGTCACGCACCCTCCCCGGCCAGAGCTCCGCTCCCTTTAGGAGATGCTGGGATGAACATGCCAAGCTCCCAGGCTCTGACCAGCATCGCTGCAGTCACTACAGCCTCCCAGTTCTCCTGGAGATAAGGAATTATTTAAAAAAACAAAACCCAAACCTGTTTTGGTTTATTTTTAGTTTAAACAAGCATTTTGGATCCTTTAGCCTAAGGTGGATTTTCTGGGGTGGACAGACAAAGCTTTAAGTCTGTCCTTAAAGGACAGACCTTTAAGTGGTTTGTGCTAACAGTCAAAAAGCCAAACGTTTCCAATTACCTCAAGTCTAAACTGCAGCCAAATGGGAAAGAAACCGATGGAGGTTACGGAAAAGCCCCGGAGAAGCAACTCCAGAAGCTTCAATTCAACAGACCGTGGACCAAGATAAGGTGGCAAAGAATATTTAATATTCGATTGCTTTAAATATGCTAAGTGCAAATTAACTGGTTAAATGATGGTGTCCTGTTGAGTTAGGAAAATCAGAGCCTAAAAAGGAAGTTTCTGTTTGTCTGAGCAGACACACCCTATAGTAAAAAATATCATTAGAACCATGGATATTTTAATGTGCAATAATACATATTACCCACTCCATGTATATACATATATGTATGCATGTATACAGGTACACACACACACACACACATATATATATATATATATGAGACGACTGTCTTAAGCACTGCCAAACTGATCTAGTGCCGGTACTTGGGTTGTGTTAAAGAAAAGGTTTATAAAATACCAGATCAAGAAAAAGGTTTCTATAAAACTTTACATTTCAACTGAAGCTGCTCATCTAAATTTTACACACTGTCAAAACCCGATTTGGATACAAAAGGCAAAGACAGAAACAGACAAGGAACAAAAGTTAAAAACCAACAACCTTCTTTTCCATGAGCCTCACTGAGAAAAATGCCAAAATGAAAAACACCCTTAAGCACTTTCTTTTTTTTTTTCAGTCTGAAAACACAGCTTTACCTACCTAGAGAAAATGGCAACAAGTATAAAATTGTATTTTATCTTGAACTGAAAAAACAGTAACAAGTCATTTTGTTCTCACGCCTCAGCCCAGTGGAAGCCAGTCCCCAGCAAATCCTGCCCTTCCTCTGTGTGCCCAGTACCTTTTCATTTGTACCAATGATTAAGCCATTTTGGAAGGTGCACACTTACTAATCAAGAATTTATATGCAAACCCAAAAGCTCTGAGAAAAATAGGTTTAAGGTGAATTTAGAAATATATATATATATATATATAGACTCTATATATATATATATAAATAGTCCCTATATACATTAACAACTGAAGATGAAGAGCGGAAGAAGGGAATAAAGAGCCGAGGACATACAAACCCAGCACTCTCTGGCCAGCAGCTCCTTCCACCAAACCCTCACCCTGCCTGGGATCTGCTCCTGCCCGTCCTGCAGCCACCTGCCAGCGCAGCCCTCGTCCCAGCAACTTCCACCTCACAAATAAAACTGCCTTTTCTTTTATTGGGCACAACCTTCTGCAAGCAGAAGAGACAGTTGATGCTTTCAGGAGAATTTATAAAAATACACGTAAAATATTTCAGGCACAGCAAGCAAATGGAAGTATATTTCTCGCTTCTAAATCTGCTCTTTAAATTACCAACAAGGCTGGTAGAAGAATTAATTTTCTTTCGTGAAATTCCAAGAATTCTTTTAATCACAAGGTCTCCTCTGTTCTCTTCCATCTCATGGTCCAAGCCCACAAGTCTTGGGTTGCTTACATCCTCAGCCAAACAGGAAACCAACAGGAAAATTAACACTCTGATGGATGCTGTAAAAGTATCTACAAAGCAGGGTGGGGGAGGTCAAGTGTTATTTACAAATTGGCCGTGAGTCCGTCTGCACTGATGGGCTGTGAGCTCTCCAGGCTGCTCCGACATCCCTCCAGCACCCGCAACGACACAAACGTCGTGCTGCTTTCTCCGTGCACCTCCTGTGACCCAAACCAGCCAGCGAGCTCAGCCCACCCCAGGGGAAGCCCAACTCCAACCCCTGTCTTTGTTTCACGGTCTGGTTTTAAGGATGGATTACAGACCTACGCAAAGCCGCTGCTTCCGAAGCCTCTGCAATTAAACCCCTGCAGGGGAGGTGGATGTTCCTTTGCCCCGCAGTCAAGATTAGGTCCATCACCAGGGCTCCTGGCCTGCTCCGGCTCCACTAAGACGCGGCGGGCTCTGGGAACTCCAGCCCGGCCGAGCACCAGGCGTTTCTCCTGGCTCCCTCCGGCTGTAGCTGTCGGCAGGGAAGTGGCACAAGCCTCTGCATCTCATCTACTACCGAGCGCCATGCCGGGAAAACACAGGACAAAGGCAGCAGGTTTTTACTGCTTCGTGACCCCTAACCCTAGCTGTGCACTAACGAGCGGATAATTACAGGCCTGCAAGGTTTCTGCTGCCGGGCTTCTTGCGGGTCGGGCCAGCTAACACCCAAGGACAAGCCGTGTCACACCAGTGACACCAGTAATGGCACAGCTCCTGCCAATGCCACCCAGTTAACAACCTGCAAACAAGTGACACGATAGAACAGCTTAGGCGAATACATGTTCTCATCTCTCCTAGTACCCCTATTAGTCATCATCTTAGTACACCTTTAGACATTGTGATTTACGGCAAAGCCAGCTCAGGACCTGACCTGAATCCTTTCATGTGAGAGGCTGCGGATTTGCAGGATCCCACCAAAGGGCAATGATCCATAAATACAGCCCCAAACTGCACAACTGGCTTGTGATGAATTCAATGGCCAGAGCGAGGTCCAATTTCAGCAGGTATTAATTTAACACAGAATGTTTTAATGTTTCCATTATTTTCAGTTATACTGGTATCATGCTGCTACTGAAAGTATGAATAATTATAAAAGGGAAAAGCTTGTCAGCAGCTTTTCAAGTATTTCTCAGTGACTGTTTTGCAGAAAAATTGCTTTTCATTCAAAAAACAAAATTCAGATGAGGAATATTTATATTTCATAAGGGGAAAATATTTACATGCCCATATTGACAAATGACATTTTGATTTAAATTACACATTAAATAAGATATTTAATATTAAATATTATATTTAAACACAAAATTAGGTATAATCAATTTCTTAGGCGCTTTTAAGGATAGTTTCTCTAACACCTGGAGGACAAATTCAACGTACATTTTTTAGTTGGACATCAATAAAACCTTCTGAAAAGACAGCAGGATGTACATCAAATTTACCTTTACTACTCCACGTTAAATGCCCTGCTGCACTAGCCCCCATCGCATAATCTCCATTATCCTTTAGAAAAAGGAGCCTGTTCTCTTTGCACAGCCCTGTCCTTAAAGGCAACCCACGGACCTTTTGCATGGAGGCACGGCAATGCTGCAACATCTCCTGATTCCCCATGCACTACCAGTAACGGTCCTGAAATCATCTTCACACCCTAACTCCACATAAAAGCCCACGGAAGGGAGAGAAGGGGTCCTTGTTGCAGCCCCTGGTGAAGAAGACCTCGCTGGACTCAGCCAGGAGCTCGCCGCGCAGGAAACACGGCCACAGCCGGGAAGCTCGGCGGCACACACCGGGGGATCTACCAAGTGGCATAAGCAGCTATGAGGTCAGGGAGGCGTAAGAGGAAGGAGAGCACAATGAACTGAAAATACCTTTTGTTGGGATCTGGATGGATATAAGGCACTCGGAACAACAGTGGGGTATTTGAAAATTATGATTATTACAGCGTGGGATCCTTCTGCGCATCATGTTCTCTTTCCCCGTTTCCTGGCTATCTGGAGATGAAACACGACTTGGTTCCAAAGCTGGAATGAGAAGAAATTACTCCTTCTGAACTAAAACAAAGGCACTGGTGCTTTTATATCTGGAATTTTTATTGCTGATCATTGTTTTGCCCTAGAGACAGTTCACTCCTTCAAGGGCACTCAGTCATCAGCTGGAATGCAAAGAGGGAGAACTCTCCGTTGGGGCGAGGATGGGGTCCCAGGTGGGAACGGGGCAGATGAACCCGACCCAGCCACAGCGGAGTGGGCGATCCTGACCCCCCTCAGAGTGGCCACCGTAGATGCCGCAAACCCATCTCGTGCACGAAAGACGACACACATACTCACAAGATGATGCGATTCTGCCCCCGATCCCCGTGGCAGACAGTTTCAGGGGAAGGCTGGCCAGGGAAGGATGGTCTGGTGGATTTGTACCATAAAAGGTGAAGTAGGAAAGTGTGAGAAGTGAGACAAACTGAAGTTACACAACAAAAAAAAAAAGGCAGGCTCTATCCCAGCTAGGAGCTGGTCAGTATCTAAGTGAGCACAAATGCCTTTTCTTGGTAAAGTTTCAGCAGACAGACTGACAGAGGGAGAGAAGTTGTTCACAGGTTTACAAGGGAAATAGCAGGAGTGATGTGTCGCAATAAATGGCAATTAATTACAAATGAATAGGATACGTGTCACATGAAGAGAAGTTTCTGAAAGGAAACAAAGGAGTCCCCAGTACTTTGAACTCTCCCACCCTGTGCTTTGGCCAATTTATTTTAAGAAACAAAGAAAGAAAGAAAAGTCTGTTCAAAGTCTCAGACAAAAAGAAAACTGTGCTTTGATAATGACTGCGAAGATATTCTTTACAAAGATAATGCTTCTATTTCAAATCATATATAGGAACTGAACACTGAATTAACTATTACAACTTACTGTGTTATTTGCTAAATACTTCCTTTTTTTTTAACTTCTAATGTTTTCATGTAACACGCACATTTTCACGTGATCCATATGTTACATAAATTTACAGCATGAGGTAATTAATGGTTTTCTTTATGTTATTTGATTCTGAAAGAGTAAGAATGCAGAACTTTAAATTACATGTGTGATCAATGCACTTCAAGGCAAGTTTAGTGCCCTGTGTTATCCTAACCGATACCGGCACGTTTCAGATAACTGACAAATCCCCTAAAAAGGGTCCGTCCCTGCTCTGTAAGGTGCCACTGAGAACAGAAGCCGTTTTGCCTCTTTGCCCTTTGAATGGTTTGAGCAGACACACCTGGAGAGGTGGTGATACGTAGAGAGAGCCCGGACAGAGAGAACGCACCGCTGTGCAAGAGATGGATGTCGTCTGACCTTGGGGGAAAAGAGGTGATTTTCTGCATAAAGCCATTTTTCCAGATTGTCCTGGCAAGTCAGTCACAATTTGGTGTTTAAGCCTTAGTCTGAAGATGGGATGAGCAGGAAAAGAGTTAAGGTTTCAGTGCAATGTCACTGCCATGCGGTGAGGACCACGGAACACAAGGACCATGGAGGAACATGCCAGCACGGTGCCAGCTCAGGGTTCCCGACAACAGAGAAGCACAACCCTCCTCTCGCACAGCCTCCAGTGCAAGAAGTACCACAGGTGATTCTTCAATACCTATTTTGTACATGAAAGCCCACACGGATGCAGCATCCAAGAGACCTGGCTACATATACTCCAGCACGTGCTTAAAGGAGGACAGAGCAAGACCAGGACCTCACCGCCGGCGACCGAGCTCTGGCTGGCTCAGACGCAACGTTCACCATTTCAGCAAAGGATTTCCATGGGCTTACCAAGGAGCAAGAAATAGTTCCACACTGTACACGACAAAAAAGTTTTCAATTAACATTTGCTGTGCCTGTAGTTAATTACATTTCAAGTTTAGTTCCATTAATTATCTAGCCTAGGAGACACTTTTGCAAGCATCTGGCAATGGCAAGCTTTACCGCAGAAGACAAGCTTACTAAAAATCCACCGACAGTGGGAGATCCTCTACAGCATTTCTAGAATTCCTAGAAAGGTCTAGAAAAACTAGCTATGAGCATCAAAATTACATGAGAAAAGATTTTTAATAGTTTACATCTGTCCAAACAATTTGAGAAAATAAAAAATAGATGGGGAAGGATCTGTCCTTTATAAAAGCCCCCCCAACTTCAGGGAGAGAAAAAGGATTCGTCTCTCCTGATCAGCATCAAATATAAAAATACATTTTACACATAGGCATATTTCACTAACATTTTTATACTTATGTTGTGAAAGGTGACAGATAACAGTCACTAGGAAATACAGTTAATTTTTGTACAAAAATGAACAGGGAGGTTGGACTGGTCACCACAATGCCCTTCTAGTAATGAGGTAAGTGAGTTTTAGATGAGATAAGCTAGCATATAGGAGCCAAATTGTTTATTTTCTCCATTCAAATTTGTCAGAAAGTTCATAGTGAATGTACACAGAAGATGCCTGCTTAGATTTACTAGAAACTTCCTATCAGCTGGCATTTTATCAGCAGCTACCACGGAGGGAAACCATTATCAAAAATTGCTTTCTCGCCCCAAATGAAACAGCATTCCTTATAAAGTTGGAAACTTCAGCCAGTATGAAATCAATAGGAATTGTATCAAACCTATTTGCCAAAGAATCTTAAACTTTCACTGAACTGAATTTTAAAAATGGTCTATTCTTTAAGCACCTCTAAGGTGTCCATTTCTGCTACCTAAGACCTATAAAAATAATTAACGATGCATAATTCTGGGACCAAGCTAAGGCACTGTCCATAATGAAACTAAAAACGCGCAGTTCCCCTGACCAGAAGGATTTATTTTTTGCAAGTTGTCATGCAAAGGTAAAATTATTACTTCAAACTTCATCACGAGTTATTTTAAAATTTAGTAATAATGGAAATCCTGTGCTTAGAGCTCACAATGCCCAAGTCTGAGATATGGCACTCTGTTCTGACTGAGTGAACACACTGGTGCAACCTTACCAAGAAATGATATTTAATACTAAATGTCTCTTTCTAAGATTGAACGAGCTACAAGTGGGGTTTGGGTTGTTCTCAAGTTTGGGACCCTTTTTTTCTCAAAAAATGTTTTCTTTCTTTGATGGAGAAACTAACAATGCACGTATCTTCTATCCACAAAACAAAAACTGCTGAAACAACACATTTATTAAGAAAATGGGGGGGGAGGGGAATCACTTGCATAAAGTCAGTCTTAGCCCATCTTACAAAGGTCGTACCACCCGTTTCCAAAACGCAGAGCTCTCCCCTCTTGTGCCATGTGCCAGCAGCAAGGTATTCAGCTCCACTAGAGACAACTGTGCTCTACTTGAGCTCGGAATGCACAGACTGCGAGGGGACGGATCTGAAAAAGAGGCACCTATCGCAATAGCAAAGCGCCACAAACTCAGATTTAATCTCAGCAGAGCAAAGGAAAAAAATCCTGTTGCAACCTGATTAGCTAGCTATTGAATCAAATAGAGAACAGTTACAAATAAATACCTAAGCCCTAGATTTTTTTATAAAAGACACATATTGCTGCACTCAATGTCAATACACTTGATAGCCTCCAAAACCAAGGTTTTACTTTAATTAGCTTTCAGAGCGCCTTCAGCTCTTCCCCGCCCATGTTGCTCTTGAAAATAAAACTAAATCCTTGCAAGCCTAGCGTTAACCATATTATACACAACCATACCCTGGATTACATGGTGGTTTGAGTAACAAGGCTTAAACAAATCCTTTTACACCCTGGTTAGAGAAACCACACAACTTAGGACAAGACTAGAAAAGAAAGAAGCAGTAGCACAATATGTGTTAAGGAGCCAGAAGCTAACAGTAATGTGAAATGTACTGTGCAATGAAAGGAACAGCTTTCCTAAAACCACTCTGAAGTGTGCAGCATCATCAGTTTAGTTAGAGGCCTCTGTGAATTTTCTGTGTACTGTACTGAATGCAACGTGTCCTAGTTTAAGCCAATTAACACTAAGCTCCCGAATGACACGACCTTGTGAAGATGGATACACCCGAGTACAGCTCTCCGTTCTTCTTCACCTCTTTCCTACGCATCAACTTTTTTTTTTTTTTTTTTTTTCAGAAGTAAAGCCCCCATCCCATGCAATCCAAACAGAAAGCTGTAAGATCTTCTCAGAACAAGGGCATATCTTTCAGCTGTTTGGCTGGTTGGTTTTTAATGGCCTGTGACGTCCAAACCAGAGAAAAACTCTCCTGCACCACAAGCCAACAGCCGCACTCCTAAATCACGAACCTGCATCATACTGCACAACACTTTCAGTGTTTTCCCCCACCGAGTGTTCTCCCCTAACATGAAAGGACTAGGATGAGATTCAGAAACTGAGTTTCCCTTCAGGGAGAAGCACCTAAAAATGTTTTATTTTAAAGCTGGGGTTGGCAAAAAAGCATGTAGGTGCATTACGCTTGCCTTGTGAGAGCCCACAACCGAAGATACAGATGCTTTCAGAACAACAGAGTACGTGGCAGAATAGGATTCCAGAGAGAACTGATGCCAGGTAAAAAAACCTAACAACAAACGAAACAAAGAGAATTAGCATCCCATTGTAAACAGCAGGTTTCATTTTGTTCTAACAACAGCAAAACCTCTGGTAACAAAAAAATCAATTGTTTATAATTTCTGAACATGATTCAGGCTGAGATCACTGCTTTGGGAAGAGCAAGAGGAGAAGAAAACCTGTTCCTTAAATGAGTGAAAACTGCAAGATGAGCTGCTATATGGCATCAAAAAAGTCAAGTATTACATTGCAAAAATATCGAATGATCTTATTTATCAAGTATAATTAATCTGGCAGCCAGGATGCAGGACTTTCCTCTCGTGAAGTCTCAGGTGACATCAAATTGCCTGGTCAGTATCACAGTACTTGCAAGACTTTGTGGCACCTCTTCCACAACTGGCAAACCACTTTGGTCTTTAACGTTTGCAGAAATTAGGGGATTCTGCCATACAGCAGCTGTTTCCCCTACCAGATAAACTGAACAACTGAAGAAAATGAGGCTCAGCTTTACTGTGATTATCACTGCAATAAGACAGTGCTTAGCACAATGGAAGGTGAAGTCTAGAAATAACTTACTAGTACATACTGATGAAAACACTACTGACGACAGTTAAGAGTGTCAGACAAGAAGTGCAGAGAAAGAGGTGTAACAACCAAAAAGCCCTAGCCCAGGGCTCTACAGCCCCAGGCTGTATTCTCAGGCACAGCTTTAACTGGGCAGGAGGGAAATCAAGGCGCTTTGTGGCTGGAAGGATTAAGTCGAGACTGAAGCATTAAGGAGCATGCAGTGTGGTGTAAACCTTTAGTGACTGGCACTAAGGTTTGCTCTAAGTTATGCCACTGATAAATAATGATTTCGATTACGGCTCACTGGCTAATTTTTGGAAGAATGATTTTGGGATGTCTGTGGACAACAATAAAGCCGTTTAAAATTTTTTTCCTTTAGATATATTATTTAGGAATGTCCCTTAACTTTCATTCACCTTGCACACTGCACCATACCTAAAACCTTTCCACTGGCAAACTGGGATGCCTGAACCTTTTTGAATAGATGCTGAGGGGAACACTGTGGTTTTTTTGCTGTTTTATTTTTTTCTTTTTCTTCTTTTTTTTTTAAATAAATTTGTGCACCCACTGTTTTTCCATTCTGCTTGCCAGCTGCAATAAGGCTAAGCTGCTAAAAAGCAATAAGGGCAGCAAAGCCTTTGAACGCTTACAAAATTTCTATCAGGCTTTGCTGAGGACCTATTACCCAGAAGAGTAACTGGGATTTTGCCTGCCATAATTGTTATGACTCAAGAGAAGCAGCAATAAATTGTATTTTTGTGTGGGAAAATTTTGTTAGAAGACTGGTGAAACTGAATAAACTACAATCATGTCCCTTAATCACTTTCCTTCAAAGGACTACCTCACCTAAACTTTAATTTGAAGCTGGTGGATACAATTTTAGAGGACCTCATCAATTTGGGACAGCAAGCCCATGAACCCAACGCCCGATCTCCCCTGGTTTGAAGAGGGTACGTAACCACCCGCCTGCTCGTAGTGCTGTCGTCCCTGAACCCAGCATTAAAAGCCTGTAGTGAGCAATAGAAATAATTAATCCAAACCACTTGAGTTTTTATCTGCTATCAGATCACATCTCCATGGCTCCAAACTAGTTACACTTGATCTTTCTGCAGTACAGGGTTATTCTGACTGCAAGCCCTACAGCTGTGCTCTCCCCGCAGTTTAATACCCAGGTACTGAACACAGGAGTTTGGATGCCTGAAAACAGTCATCTGATGTGATGATGGCAGGACAGCTGAACGGCTGCATCATCCAAAGTAACATATTTTTCCCACAGTCCAACCAGCCAAAGATAAATGTGTTATGATTCAAGAATTATTTAGTGTTGGCTAAACTGATCACTTTTTAACTGCTAATTGTGCAGAAAAGGCCCCCTCCTCACCAGCACGAAAGCACGTGGGCAAGGCTCTGCAGCAGCAGGGATGCCCGCAACAGCAGGATCACTGGAGAAGCCGCTGCTCTCTTGTAATCCACCGTATCAACATCCAGTTGGGTAAAATCCTTGAACTAGAATGTTCTAGCAGAACCATTTCCCCTCAGTGAGGTATGCCTTGCTGGTTTTGGTCTTGTACAACAAATGTTTAATCGATGACTTGCTACTGATCACGGAGCTGTACATAGATATAAAAGTTAGGCTCGTTGTGCTCTGAGTGTCTGCTTCACCAGGTTTCTCACAATATCCAACTGTGTGTGTATAAATATACATGGAATAATACATATTGCAAATATATATCTATATACACACTCATCAGTATACATATTCAAACCTAAAATTTTATATACCATATCGATATGGACAGATTCAAAATACTGCACATAAATGAGGAAGGACAGTGTTGAATATAACTTCTGTTTAGTCTCCACTGCTTTCTGACCAAGTATCTAAGCAAGCTGAGGTGTTTTTCAAAGGGTACAGCTGGGTTAAGTAAATCCATTTTCAGTAGACAATACATCCCGCTACAACCTTGAGTAGGAGTCTTTCCCTAGAGCACAGGGCTTACTCGGTGAGAAGGTAACGCAGCTCTCCCGCAGTCAGTGTGCCCCAAGACGCCACCATGAATAACCGCCACGGAGACACAGTGCTGGCACTGCATGTGGCACGGCCTGACCTGTGGAAAGGGCTTGGTCAAGTCACTGCATGCTGTACCTTACGGTCACCTGAAAAGAGAAAGCAGTCGGAGCGCCCAGCTGCCCTGCAGAGCATTGGGCAGCAGTCTGGGACGGCAAGGAAGAAAGCTCAGACAGCAACAGGGACTGAGAGAGGCCACCGACTACAGGCATGGGACCCTCCAACCTCAACATATTCACTGTGACTCCAGATAGACAGGAAGCTCAGACTTAGAAAGAGAAAGAAATTTATGCACGGTTTACCTATAAAATCATTTGAGCCAGGCAAGGAAACCATCATCTGACTCTGGATCTGTTCTGAACTGCAAACCCCAACAAACCAAGCATGAGGAACTTTTTCTAGATCAGCTTGTTGGCTGGTGTGAAGACCAATCCTACGGGAGCAATGAGGTATAGCTCAGAGCTTAATTCCCAAACGTGGAGGAATCATTCACTGTCACAAAAGCAAGAGAGCTTGTGCATTTCTACAAATCTAGTTAACTACCGGTAAAATGTCTTATCACAAAAGTAACTGGACACCAGTAATCAAATTAATAAACTAAGACAATGTGTCCCCCAGTAACTAAACTGTGGTTTTAGATCTGCTTACTGGATATGTTTAAATATATTATTAAAGCTTTCATTTAAATTTATTGACTCAAAACCAAAAGCTAACGAACAACAAGTTCAGAGTCTGCAACGAAAGGCACAGACACATCCTTGCTTATCTCTCTGAAACATTTTAGGATGTTATTGCTGCCAACTGTTCTGTATCACTTTTCGGGTGGAGGTTACTGCTCCCCAAACCAAGGCATCATGAACAGATCAGGCGGGTACAGCTAATCAGTATTCTTGCAACATCGTCCAGCACGGATTGAGGTGATGTAAGGTGACCCCTGTCTATGACGTAACCTAACGCAAAAATCATTTATCTGTTTAACAAGGTGGCTGAAAATGTATCAAGCCAGAAGGATGATCAAATTGTGCTTGCTATGGACACCTCCCCTTAATCTCTTGATCCTAAATGGACTTGGTCATAATTGCAGCATGGTGGAACCTGCAAGCACCACAGTCAAGAACCATGAATGAGAACAGACTGGAAGAGAACTATTGCCACTTGGTATTTAATGGGACTGAAGCCCAATCATGGTCTTCAACCAGCTGCTGGAATAAGCTGAACTAATGTATTAGAAGAATGATTTTTCAGTTTTCATAGTATCATTTTTAAGTGTTTAAAGAATGCCTGAAGAGAACCTGATTTTCAGAAAAACTCTAGCACCAATCCTCTGAAAATTAAGACTTTAATGTGTCTCCAATTAGGAACTCAAAACCACTAATCATTTCTGATAATCCTGGCTAAGGGTAGGATTGATCTCCAAATAGCAAGCAGCGTAACCAAAGCAGAAAGTGAGATTTTTCCTCCCAGCGCAACGTAACTTTAAATTATTATTTTAAATTACAAGGAGTGAGTGAGAAGACTTCCAGAACAACAGTACTGTGCCACGAAAGCACCTGCTTACCCAGTAATTGCAGCTGAGAGAAATCACAGCTATGTCAGCAGCATACAAGTGGCCCACAACCCTAGCACCCAACTTCCAAGATGCACACAGTAATCTCATCCTGCTTTCTGCACTGCAACCTCCGTATCTGGTATTCCAGCAAAGCAAATCCTCAATTCTCCCTAAGAGCAAAAATGAAAATACGTTATCTTTGGGCACACAAAGATAACCTCGTGCTGCGGGTATGTCACCGTCGGATACTGATCCAGCAGAACAGACTGACTCTAACTGTGAAAACATTTTGTTCATCTCACTCCCCCCCCAACACCAGCTCTCAATACAGTTAAGAAAATTCAATATGCACTACATACATATCACAGTTAAAAATAAAGTATTTTTTAAGAAGACTGAAGTCTGGCTAGGATGCCTTTGCTCATAACAACAGATCTGTGTGAGGTACTTTTTAATACTCACAGGGTAAAGTCCCTCGTTATGCACAAGTGAGAATATATCTGAAAGTAAGCTATTTGGCTACCTATGTGTCAAGCTTCATGCTTTTATTCCAAAGTGAATGATTTTCCAGCTTAGGTCTTGGACTAATAAAATAAGCGGCATTTAACATTTGACAGGTGGATTTCAGCATACAGCTTACACACAAAAGCAGGCCCAGCTCTGTATCTAGACTACAGGAGTAGAGCATAAGCACTGGAGCACTGGTCGTGGCAATCTGCTGTTACCAGCCCGAGCCTGCTTCTGCAAGTGGCCCAACATCTACACCCGTATGATCTATGTGCACAAGTCCGGTCTGGGAACAAGCTCAACGCAGAGGCCAGCACCACTCAGTGCAGACCTGTGTCTGAAACTGGTACAGTCTTTACAGGAGTAGGTCCTTCAGCCTACGCAGAAGATCCTGTGTTCCAGAGTCAAGTACACACCTTCAACTGACCTTGCTCCCAGGCAGTTTGAAGCGCAGTCCATTTCTCCGTACTGTTTTACTCTACCATCCCAAGGCAGCGGTACATGTCCCCCCCCGCCCTAACTTCTCCACGACCGACCACCTGGGGGCTAACAGCAGGAGTCCTGTGCTGGGGCCATTTCACTCTCCAATGTTGTCACTAGGTACAAAGTGCAAAAGTGTTGCTGTTCCTGCATCCATTAAAAACTTTAAAAACAGAACAAAACAAACAGAAAAGGATTTCCATAATAATTTGAAAATACATTAGTCTCCAAAAAGCCAGCAAACACCTGATAACCTGTTTGTGCCATATCTGCTCTTGTTCCTGCATGGCAGCAGTCCAGTGGATCATTATCCTCTTAGCTGGCAAACAACATGCTACCTTCTTTGCATACTCTCCAGCCAACGGAGGATGACATCCGGGAAGTTGAGTTTTGATGGCTCGGACAGAGGAGACCAAATGCTAACTGACCCAAGATCCTGCAGTGAACTGTCACGTCTCCAGAGGAGAGAGCACTGAGCAATTCACTGGAATGAAGAGACTTCCCATTTCTCAAGACAGTTCAGCATTACAGCAAGTTAGCTACTTGGCCTCTGGCTTGGGACAATGTCAATGACTTCCCTCCCACCCCACAAAAATGTAAAATAAAATCCCTCCCTGCTTCATCCCATTTAAAGTGTTTGCATCTTTTCCTCCTATGAAATGTTTCTGATAAGGCTTTATTGCTATACAAAAGCGGTGCAAATGCTGCCCAAAGACAGCTCCATCAGGAACTTTGGTCACACGACTGCGGGACTCTTGTGCACTGTCCAAGTCCCAGCGTTAGACCTGCTACCTTTCTGAAGAGAAGCTGAATACTGTGTGCAATAACACTAAGAAAATAGGACTGAACCCCAAATATAAAACAAAAACAAGGGAGAGAGGGAAGGGGACAAGGAACTAAAATTAGGCAGAAGGCTTGCTTGGGAAGAACCCCATCATTCCTGTGATGACTAACTGATCAATGCTACATTTAGACAATGCAAGTGTCTTTCAGAACAGATTGTTGGTGTTGAAACTACATGTCTGGTCCTGAATGCCAGCTCTCTCATCAATGCAGCATTTATTAAAAAATAAAATTAAAGTGAAAAAAAAAAAAATTGACAAATTGCATCACCAGGTAGCAGCCTGGCCTGGATCACACACGTCCCATTGCATCTGTTTCATCAAGCAGGGCCATTTAATGTGGCTTCAGCACAGGGCAAGACTTCTTCTTTCCTAAAGAGAAACCCAAAGAATAATATTAGAGAAATGTAACTGCTGGAACATACTCGCTCCTAAAGCTTACTTTCATCCTGGCTAGAAACTTTCCTCTTCAGTAGTATATGAGCCATCCTTCCTCTATTTTTGTTTCTTCTGCCTGCTAAAACATTATTAGCTTCCTAATAAGAACCTCCTCCAAGTCCTTTACAAAATACTGCGTTTAAAAATCAAACTAGAAACTGAGAAGTCAGCTTTGACTGCTGATTATACAACATTAATTAATTTATCGAACCAGAAGTTTGGAACATGACCGTCAGGGTCCTGAGTCTCTCAGAAGGCTCTGACCTGACCAGCCTTGTCCGGGGCCTCCCCCCATCAGGCACCCTCCACCATCAGCCCGGGAGCTTGGGAATGTAGGTCTTTGCTGGAGCTATGCCATACGCACGGCTCTGCACTTTCCTGCCGCCGCAGACCTGCTGACTTGACTCCATGGCTTGTCCTTGGACCCACCTCGTCCCAGCACGAGGACGTGAATGGCCATCACTGGATGGGGTCCCACGGGACTGCGAACCTTGTCTGCAGGGTTTTTGCGCTCCCCCCACCCCACCCCCCCGACTTTGCTGTCACCCTGTCAGCGCCTGCTGGTGCACGCAGGGCCCTGACAGTACCTGGAGTGCGGTGGAGAGAACAACGATCCGATGGGATACTTGGCCTCCTCCCCAGTAAGAGTTACACTAGCACTAGAATTTGTGTGAGGCTGGTTGTAAATTGTGGGCTCAAACACTAGGCAGTAGCTGTACCGGGGCAATATAAAGAGCAATAGTGCCGAGAGCCAGGACAGATTTTAATGGAGTAGAGTTGAGTGGATCAGTTGCTCAAAGTGCTGGTTAGAACTTCTTCCTCTCACCAAAAGTACCTAAGAGAAGAAGTTCCCGTAGGATGGCTCAGATGTCTGGCTTCAGCTAAGCACCATCATCTGAGATCCAATCTAAGAGCAAGCTTGCGCCAGGAGGATTGAGGCACCCGAGAGAGGCCGTCTTAGCTCAAGAAGAGCAGAAGCACGTCATTATTAATATGCATCTCTCTGGCCAAAACCAGGAGCCAGAGCAAAGCTGTGGAGATGATAGCACTAGATACGCAGAAGGATTGGCTTCCATATTTAAAAAGACCTAAACTGTCACATTCACAAAAAATTATTAATATCATTTCTCCTTGAGACTACTTCCTAGTTCAGTTATCAAAACACATTTCTACATTCCTCATAATATTTTAAGTGTAAAAGTCTATCTGTTCACGGGAATGTACAACCCAAACAGAGTATTTGTTATGCATGAGTAAGAAATGAGAAGTCCATTATCTTAATAAACCAGATGATTTGACAGCACTTCTGGGAAACAGAAAGATATGTGCAATATATTGCAGTAATAGCTCTACACTACCTACAGTATAATGCACTCCAAGACACTCTAGATGTACTATTTGTCTTTGACTTTACACTGCTCGTAGAATAACCGCATTCAGTGGCATGGTAAAAACCAATTCTCTGTCACAGGCAGGTAAAGGAGAATTTTGACCATCTCACCTGTCTTTTGTGGCCGTTTCCGTGACAGCTGTGACAACAGCAGCGGTGTTCTGGTGCTCCTCTGAGTGCTGGGTCACGTTGTTCAGGGGTTTGGATGTTTTTGTTGTTCCGATGTCAGTGATGGCCAGCTTATCAATAACCATGCAGTCTGCATCACTGTGTGGGGAGAATTCAAGTTCATGTTAAATTGTCAATTAACAGGGCTTAAATTCCAATGGAGAAAAAAATATTCCTCCTCCTCTCCTAGCACAGGCCACAAAAATCCCATAAAGAAATAAGAACCGAAAATAAACTGGAATTAAAAAACAGTGTATGCATCCTGGAGGCTATGTTTCCTAAAAATCAACAAAACACCAAATACGCACAAGAACCGACAGCTCCTCAAGAAAGGCATTCTGATTTCCTGCAGCAAAATCCAGCCTAAGACTTCCCCATGTATCCCCATTCCCTGCAAACCAGACATTTTACCACTCTCTGCCACTACGTCTGCTGGTGCGCTCTCCTATGGACAAACACAGAAAAGAAGCAGCAGAAGGATGCAAACGTGAAGTACACTTGGCCAAGACTTTGCAAGTTTAGAGTGTCCAGAAAGTCAAGTTTACCACTGGGAGCAACAAACCAAAAGCAGACTGCTTGCCTTGCTGGTAACTGGCGACTGTCAGTACCAGTACACAGGACAACAGGACAGCCCCGGGCTGAAGGGACCTCAGGAGATCCTCTGGTTCAGCCTTTCACAGGAAAGGCAGCCTAGAGGAGTTCACCTCTCCGGGAATTGCCCTCCGTTACCCAACACCGCACAGCAGATTTCCAAGTCTGCTGCTCCTTAAACTGCTGGTTTTGGCAAAGTGCATTTCTGACCTAATACAGGCACCTACGTGGCTCGGCTCTACAGATTTTTCCCAAGTGGCACCTGATACTTCTGTGTGCACCTAGAAAAGACTTAAATTTAAGTACAGAACCTAAAATCCTGAGGAAGAAAAAAAAAGTTGATTGGATGTTCATGAGTGGTATCTTCAGAAGCCAAACAGAGCTAAACTAACTCGCCTTCAGTAATACATCAGACAACAGATTCCCATGCCTGAGGGATAACATTATCAATGATGTCTCCCTACAACAAAGTAGAAACTCAAATCCTGAAAAAGGAAAAAAACCTGCTAGCACAAAACCTCCAAATCTTCTACATTTGTTTTAAAAGACCCATATTTCTAACCAGAGAAGTGATTTCTGTGAACATCCCTATTTTTTGCCTTCTAAGGCAGAGAACAAGCTTGTATTTGAATGACCTTCCTCACAGTTTTAACCCAGTCCCAGTTTCAAGAATGGTTTCTTCTCCTTCTTTCAGACAGCAAGCCTACAAAAATGGAAGGAAAGCTCAGTAGATGACTGAGCTGGAATCCTGTCACCAGCTGCCAGGGGAGTTTATAATGCATACATATGATCACAGTCTGGTAATTAAAGACATGTGATAGAGATTTTGAGATCAAGGTTCTATTTCTGTAGCTACTTTTCTGTGTGCTCTTGAAAAAAATACATTAAAAATGGGGAATAATGAGATCAAAACATTTACCTTCCTAAAGGGCTAACATGCTCGTAAAAAGAAATACTGTAAGTGCAAAAATATACCTTAGAGAAACTGCAGGGGATAGATGAGACAGCAGAGAATTGAACTAAGTTGCCAGAAATGTCATTAGAAAATGACTTCCCCCACAAGAAACTGGAGCTCATGAGATTTAAATTGCTCAAAGATAAACTTCTTAAATTCAATCACTAAAATTTCCATGACACAAGGATTCCAATGTTATGAAATCCTGAGGTCATCTGACCACTAAGGGGGCATGGAAATTTATCTCTCTTCAACAGGCTCACGGAAGAGCGAAGCCGGACATGCAAACCTCTGCAGAAGGACACTTACAGGCCAAACTAGCAGGGTAAAACAAAACAAAGAGTTTGCGTGGAACACAGAATACTCTGACCCAGGCAAGATGGTTCATAACAGTATCTAATTCTAGCCTAGAATAAACTCTAGTACCTGTAAATATTTTGGATTAGTATTCCTCTGGTCAGCTTATTTTTAGCAGCTAGCTGTGTCCCTTGAATGCCAGCCTGGAATGACCTTGCTGCCAGTGCAGTCGATCAAATGGTCTACCTCCATGTCACCCAACAGCCTGGTTACATGCTCCAAACCCTGACCGGGCTGAGGGCAGGGACAGAGAGCATGTCACCTGCAAAGAATATAACTGTTCTCTCATGAGGTTGGCTAAGGCAGGCTAAAGAAGAAGAGTTATCAGCAACAACGTCTGCATCTACTGCAGACTCTTCTTAGTTAAGCTCTGCAAATGGATCTCTAATACTTCCCATTCCAGAAAGAATTAGGAATTTTTAAGCTCCAATTCAAAGCCACTTGTACAAATTTTCCAACAGCAAGTGTAAGTCTGTCCAGAACTGTCTCTTTTTTCACAATGGACAAGCACTCAGCACAACTTGTGAATGCCACCTACGGCCACACCCACTGGGCTTTCCAACACGAGAGCTGGGACAATTTTCCTTTATGTTCACGAAGTTCAACATCACAGCCAAATTCTGCAACTTAACCACCAAGTTTGCAAATACTGCTCTGGAGGTCACTTGTAGCAGAGACTCCTCTCTTTCTACAAGCACTGCAATGCTTTCTGAGATATCTAACCACCCCCGGTGCACAAGCTGAACGTCCAAACTCTTCAGTCTTAGAAGACTAGAAGATAGGACCTGCATTATTAGGCCCAGCCATCTTCACCCGTAGAAGGTTCGAACATAGTTTGCATGAAGTAAGTTGGAGATGTCTCCTCCTAAGCACTGGCTGGTTGGTTTGGGACTCCTCACCTGGGTGCCTGGTGAATATCGGGCTTAACAGACCTGATCAAGCTTGCTTCACCACAGGTACAACACAGCCGAGCTCAAAGCATCCTGAACAGGACAGTCTCTACTTGACCTTCATGCAACAGGGCTTGTGCAGGAGAACTTTAAGAAGTTCTGGGGGTCTAAAGAAACTTTATGGCAGCGGTGGACTATTGCCTTGTGTCTTGCAAAGTGAAGAAAGTGGGCAATTAATCAGCTGGGAATCTCCGGGAGGTATAAATACCTGTGTGCTATTACAGTCACCAGCAAGGAATACCTCCTGCCAGAGCCAACTTCAGAACATGGAATTTGGTGAGTTTTGGCCATAGTCACTTGAGGGTGATGAACTGAGGAATACCCTCCAATGGCACATTTCCCAGACTGCTTTGAAGCATGGCAGGGGATCATAAAGATGATGAAAGGGAAACAAGTCAGTCATTCTTGTTTACTCTTCCTGATGTGTTACCTGATGTATTTCATATCTTAAACATCACCTATGGTTTGCCTTTTAAGGCAGCAAGTTCCTTGAGGCAGGTACAATCACATCTCCTCTGGGTGATGCGTACTGCCAAGCACTCAGATTTCACTTAGAATAATTATGTGATAAATTACAATAATAATTTTAAGCTAAGAAGTATTTAAAATACTACTTCTTCTAAAAGCTGTTATTTTACGTTAACTGATGTGTACATGTACTAGAAAAGGAAGGTTACCGAAACACTTCTCGTCAAAGTCACTGGTGTCTGTGCAAAATATACGCACACACATACGTACATGTATACCACCTTGCAACTGGGAAACATGAACAGGTTTTCTGTTTACACCAACCATCAGGAGAGAAGGTAGACAGTATTACATCTGGTTTCAAGAAGGCTTCCAGTGACCTTTCCCAAATGCACACACATTGCTTTAGACAAGGGACTTCAGAAAATGAACTCTGGCTTCTAGCTGCCTCTGGGGAAGGTTCCATGTTCTGCTGGAAGCCCAACAAAGATGAGCCTACACAGGGTGTAGGACTTGCTCATCCTGCACCTATGTGAATGCTTTGCAGAGATTTGCTTTTCACGTGCTAATGAAAACTCGCAGCTCCCTCAAGTAGCGAGTTCAACTCCATCAACTTCTTAGGGAAAAATCTGTCATAAAGACAGCATGGAGTTCTCAGCTTTTATTACGTGTAATATAATACATGAAAACAAGAAATATTGTATATCCTCATTCCAGACCTTAGGTGCTACAAAATGGTTGTTCATTCTTTTTTGCCCTAATGCCCAAATCTTGAAAATGCAAAGTTTCCTCAAGCTAACAATACAACTGTTTTCCTTGAAGTGCAATTTCTTCTTAGAAAAGCAGGGTTCAACAAAGTTCATACTTCATAACCACTGAAGCTGTCATAAAACCATTCTATATCAAAACTGATACCCAGTTAAAATAAAGTGATATAGTGTTCTATTTATGAAGATGAAACTGTCAGGAGCTCACTTAACTTCTGATAACAATTCAGTTCTTCCTGTAGATTTCCACCAGCTTTATAGAGAAAATACTTGGGTATCGCAATTTTTTTGAACACCTCTCTTGCTCAGTTTCACTGTGCAAACTTCTTTTTAACACCCATTTTGACAGCACGACTGCAAAACACATCACACTCTCACCCTGTCTTTCCACTGGTCTATTTACTGAGAGCCTCTCAGATCCAGCAAGACAAATTAAGCTATAACAGGTTTGCTGGTGGTTCAAATAAGCCAAGCTGACTCTGAATTGGAGTGCCAGATGGAAATCCACATGCTACAGCACCTAAAGCAGCTCTTCCCGACGCTAAGTGCAATACTGATCTACATCTCATTGCCAAAGGCTCTATAAAGAATTCATGCTGTAGTCCCAAATGATCGAAGAGCTTTAGGTATTTTGGGAAAGAAGGATTTGATACTGAATGAAACAGCCTTAGAGTTCAATTCTACCCACCTCTGAAGCTCACTACTGTGGCTCCTGGGATACACTTTAGATATCCTCTAGTCTCTTTGGTAAACAATTAGTATCATAGACAACAAAACACCGTGAAGACACACTAGGAAAAACAGTTGTACTATAAACAAAGAAGCAAGACATGTATAAAAAGTGTACCTAAACACAAGTCTCATGCTGAGCCCACAAGCAAGTCCTTAAAAACCAGGCTCTGCAACAACCAACCACAAGACAAAGTATGAGATGCAAGGGCAGCCATGCTACACATGCACTTCTCAACACACTCCCAAAGTATTTCTTGGCTGTTAATTAGACAAAGCCAC